CTGTTAGTCGCGTTTCGGCATCTGAAGCTGTGAGGCTTTGTTTTCGCCCCTCCCTACTTATAACCCTGGCCCTGCCGAAACCAGGGTGACAGGACAACGCAGATAGACATAAACCAACATGGTTTTTCGCTTGGAGTCAGATGTTCCCCCCCTTTTTTAATGGGGTTGATACTGTTGATTATTGATGCCGTGTTGATTGCTTCGCGTGTACCCATTGTCAGTCGCTGTATCCGCTTGTTCTCGCTGTTTGTCTCAGTCAAATCGTGAACGAAATAAACTTTACTAGGACGTCATTCTTGTTGGTGTATGAGTTTCTGGGTCACGCCATCTTCAGTAAAGAAGTTGAAAAACTTATATTCGTTTGTTTGGAATATTTTTATGTATTGGACAAAAATTTTGGAAGGTGAGGTAATTTCTATGAAGTTGATTGAAAAGCCACTTAGCTTAATAATAGTAAAAGTTTCCTCACTATAATTTTTTTTTTTACGAGGGTTTGCAACAGCAGAGGTTATATCAGCCTTCGGGGTGCCGGGGTTTTTGAAAAAAGCCCATTTGTAAGTATATCGGGTTCGAATGCAGGGCCGCTGGATTCGAACCCGGGACCTTTACCTTTACCGTACAGTGATGAGCGCCGTGTCAACGCCTAAACCGTTGCGGCCACCGACGCCCCTCTATTATTTTATTTATTTATTTTTTTAAGTTTTGTACCTATTGTCTTAAACTTAGGGGATTTCTATCTACACTTAACATTCTGCTTTGATCTAATAAGAAGTTCATATTTTGCCTTATTACATTATGATAATTGTCTTCAACAAAAAAGCTCATGGTATGTCGCCTACCAATGTTAAATTTTAACTTAATACGGCATGTCGTCACATCGTTTGAAAATTATTCAAATGTCTAATACTCAATTATCATATTAATTTTTAATTATGGTCGTACTATCAACAAAGCGGGACCACCCAAGGCGACGTTTTGGAGTTGAGGCACGTAACGTCGTCGTTGTACCGGGGTCGAGCTCTTCTGCATATCGGCTGCAGTTCGATTTCGCCCACCGTTACTCCGTCTCGAATCACGCACCGCTGGGCACATTTATTGTGTCAAACCGGACTGGAGGAGAAGAAGGGAAAAAAGTCCGCGCAGTAAGACGATACGTAAAAAGCTGCGGTTTGACTGGCCTCGAGAGCCGTGGTTAACTGACCAGCTCCTCGATCACAAAAAATAAATAAACAAATAAAAGAAAAATGGTATCAACATATTAAATCAAATTTGAAAAAACCGACGGAAATCCAGTTATATCTCCCGGTCGATTGTCAGTTTTATACCTAGTAAGAACCATGCGTAATGAAGGCTAATGAGATTTTTTGTTCTGAGCAGTCACTCGTCTTAAAAAAGAAAAAAAAGAAAGGGGTTTGAGCACTTCATTAAGTCATGAATAAACATGACCGCATATTCTAGATGATGTTTAAAAGTGATGACACGTTTCAAAACATTCCGTTGAAAATCTCGAAAACATAATATCTTTGTATTCAAAATTATATAATTAGTATGTAAAAATGTCAAGATTGACATCAAGTTGAACAATTTAGAAATTGGATTGCGTTCCCTGTTGCTCTTGATGTTCTGGGATCTTTAAGATCACTCCTAGCCCATAGACCATATAGGTCAATCAAGGTTTTTAGTGCAGGATTTCCGAGTCCGCATGAAGGCTTCGAATCGAATTACCCATATGATTTGAATTTTGAAAGCATTAATGGTCACTTATTTTTTCGCTAGCACACTCCAAACTGTGCATCTATAGTTTGTTTCATACTATTGTTCCTACTCTGTTTGGGTCAGTCAGGTGGGTTTTCAGCTTCTTGCCATTTTCATTGGCGGGTTTTCACCATAATTATTATTAAAAAAGTGATTAGAAACGAATCTGACAAGCCAAAACAGCCAAGATTGGCAGAACGAAGTGGCCAGAAACGGCCAAACTACTCTTTCACCTTTTTCCCCCCTTTAACACTTAAACTTTCGTCTATTCTGCCGATCTCTGTTAATGAATTTTCTGGAAGATTTTCGGGTTTTTTTAATGTAGTAATGAATTTTTATCAGCTTCATCAAGGTCTTTATAGTTGAAGAGCAGTTTTCTCAGGTACAATGGACGTAGCTGTTGTGGGGCAGTTGCATAAAATATGTTGTGTTGTTTCTGCCTCTTCCAGATTTATTCGACATTGGTCATCTCATCGTACTTAACTGGACAAAGATGCCTGTAAATACCCGGTTACAGTGCTTTATTCCTTTCGGTTGAGTACGATTTCTTCTTCTTCTTCTTCTTTTTTTTTTTTTTTTTTCCTGCGGGTAGTCCTTTGGCTGGTTTAATCTCACAGTATTTGTTTTGTTCTTATCCGAGATTCCAGTTCTTTTTTAATTTGGCTGCAGTTTATGCTACAAAACGCTGCTTCTTTTTGACCCGCCTTAGCGTTAGGCTATTTGTAGATCGCAGATTTTGTGAATAGAACTGTCATTTACAAAAGGTAAACATAATTAATACTAGAGTGAGTTTTTCTCTAGTGGATCAAAAGCCCATTCAGGTTGACGAAAAAAGTATACTTTGTTCCGGTTTAGAATATTAATTATATGCTGTTATTTTTCAATATTTCTCTGGTATTGGCGAAGAGTCAGGTGCAAAATGCCAGGGCCAGGTATGCTGTGAAATCGAACTGTAAAAATAAATGCTTCTGCATATGAGTTTTGAATGTTAACAGCGGGCGTGCAATAAAAATCTATTGAAACCCACGATTATCCCTGGACGATTGTTGAAGCGGTTATCTAGCTCTGCCTGCCGGACTATTATGGCCAGGACGAATACCTCCGCCTATCGTTAAAGTTATATTCGCGGGATAATCGCCTCAGCCACCGGCGGTCGAAGACGTTAAGAGCGGAATGCCCGACCGGCTTTATAAAAGTGAAAGAAAACTCGGGGATAAACAAACTTAATGGTGCCTGCTAGTAAAATTCTGAGGAAAGGATCTGTTTGGCGAGACAAAAGTTGCGACCTTGTATCGGTTGAACCCCGCCAATTGACCGGGCAAAGGTTAAATTTGGTAACGGCAGGAGGAAAAGTTGTTTCGTGGTTGGAACTCTTGCCTCACCTGGATTTTTGTTGCCCCGGCCAGCTTCGTTCCTTATAATGTCCCTTTTCATTAAAGGTTTTGAAATTGATTATCGAGGCGGGGATAATCATGGATTGTGATCGCGTTGCTCAATCCAAGCAAAATCGACTCATAGCCTTACAATGGAATAGTTCAACTTGTAGCCTAAGACAAAAAAGATTCAATTTCAGGGATATTGAGGTTGACAACACACATTTCAGTATCTTATAATCTTATCTACCAACAGTTTGGTCTTTTTGGTTATCCTTTGCCTATACTCGCCAGTTTGTTCTCTGTTCATGAAATATCTTAAGAGCGAGAGGAGAGGAAAGGAGAGCTAGATCGATAGCGAAAATTGAGATAAATATGAAGATAGGTAGACAGCAGCGAGAGAGAGAGAGAGAGTAAAAGAGAATTTGAAAGTGTGTGTGTGTTCTTCCTCATCCCTGGAATGAGGGAATTTATTGTTGATTTATTTACATGCTTCCATTCCAGTGATTACATCCATTTCTTCTACAAAATTATCTATATTTATATATTTTATTAGCTATTTACATACATTTTTTTCTCTGGCAAAACAAGATGGTGAATTTATAGTAATGTTAAGTCTATATTGTTGAGGAATATAAGGCACGAATACTTCAGATTTTTTTTTCAACCAGTTGATTCTTCTTCAAAGGCCAAGATCCCTCTGATTCAAGGGTGATTCCTCGTATTAGGATGCTTCTCTCGATGTCATACATTGGGTAGGAGAAAACGATATGTGTGTGTGTGTGCGTGCGTGCGTGCGTGCGTGCGTGCGTGCGTGCGTGCGTGCGTGCGTGCGTGTGTGTGTGTGTGTGTGTGTGTGTGTGTGTGTGTGTGTGTTAATGAATGAACGTTTTGTGAATTTTTCAATTAATTATGTTTTTAGTTGAGATGGCAAAAAAGGAGGGAAAATTCAAAAGGTGGGGTTGAGATGGGAAGTTAGTGTCCGAGTGGATCAAGATCACGACGGCTCAAGTGGTATTTAGCCGAAGGTCGTGGGTTCGAATCCCGCTCGTGACACTGACTTTTTTATCTCAACTAAAAATCGAATTAATTGAAAGATATTAATTGGTCAAGCGGACCACGAAAACTAGTGAGTTTTGTTTATTGATGCTGCAAGAAATTGTCTCAAGTTATAGGTTGAAAAAGTGAGAGTAAATGATAGAGGAAGGGAAGACAGAAAGAGAGACGGTAAAAGAAAATAAAACAAATAAACTGACAATGAGAGAGAAAGATAACGAGAGAATGAGTGATTTAGTAGGAAAGAGAAAGAAAGTATGTGAGCCCGTGGGAGAGAGTGAGAGGCTGAGTGAGTGAGTGAGTGAGTGCCTGTGTGCGTGCGTGTGAGAAGGAATGAGTACGTGAGACAGAGTAAGTGAGTGAATGAGAGAGAGTTAGTGCGAGAGAGAGAGAGCGAGAGTGTGAGTGAGAGTGAGGGAGGGAGGGTGTGGGGGAGTGAGGGAGAGAGAGCGAGAGAGAGAAAGAGAGTGAGTGAGTGATTAAGTGGGAGAGAGGGAGTGAGTGGGTGAATAAGAGAGAGAAAGAGAAAAAAGAGAGTGAGTAAGTAGGAGAGAGTGTGAGTGAATAAGAGAGAGAGTGAGTGAGAAAAAACTATCCTTAATCTGACGCGAAAGGAAAATATTTGTTTATGTTAGGCCTATAAAACCCATAACCTATATATGTAAAATAATATTTACATTTATGTGTGCATGTAAACTCATTTTTAAATGTTCTTTCATTTGTGTCATTTTATTTACTTTTTTCTGCAATGTATACTGAATTATGTGTATTGTGAAAATATGACATTAAAGATTAATTAAATATGCTTTTCTTTAGCCGGAGACGGTGCCCCAGGCGAGCATTGACATGAACAAAGTCATAGAAGTGGCGAGCGCCGACGAAGTCACAGGCAACCCTTTCAGCCTGGCCATCACATGCCCCGACATCGTCCACTTCGTCAAAGGGACTTCGCGAGAAGAGGCGAGATTCTGGACAGACGTCTTGTCAGTTTTCCCCAGATCCAAGGTATGCTGTTATCTTTTTCTTTTTTTTTTATAAATAACATACTAGACATATAAATTATCATTCTAATGTGCATTTGTTACATGTATGTGATTAGACTTTTTTTAAAACACAAAACAGGTTCGAATGGAGTTATTTTCTTAATTTATTCATGATTCTTGCTTGAACAGAGATAATTTAAATATGTTTGGATTTACAAGAACGATTTTCTTAGCATGGACCACAACAGAATAACAATATATGGTCACATTAATCGTGATATTAAGTATGATCATTGTTATCCGAAAAATAATATATTGCTCTTGTTATATACATACATCATGATATAATTGATTATTTAAGCATTATATTTGATTAAACCTAGAGAAGTTATTATTTGAATGAATTTAGATTTCTCAATAGTTGGTATTTTCATCACAGAACACTACAATTTGTTGTTGTGTTTACCTAAATCATGATTTTTTCTTAATTTATGCATGATCTTGAACTGATATAATTTAATAATCAAATATGTCACGATTGGCCAAGTTACGATTTTTCAACTAGATTACAACAGAAGTGAATAAGCTTTTCAGTCATAATTTAAGTATGATCATTGCTTCACAGAAAAAAAATGGGCTTAAAATTTTTCTTTTTTCATCACTCGTCATTTAAGCATAATCATAAATTAAGCAGAGAGTATTTATGCTTAGATTTGTCAAGATTTTATTTTATTTAACACTGAAGATAACGATAGCTCAATTGGATTTGTATAAATCTACTACGTGTTTTATGAACAATTATATAGCAATAAGTTTATTTGTAAATAGGTTCTGATTTCCTAAGGCACGATTTTTTACGTGACGACAAAAGCAGAGGACGCAAACATAAATCATGATTTCACCGTTGCAGCATAAAACAAATTTTTGTCAAGTTTTTAAGATTTGATTTTTTTTTCAACATATAACACAACAATCCAACATATAATACTGTGTGTGTGCGGTGTTGTTATAAATCCCAGGCCCTGAAGATGATCTCAATAAAGATCGAAACGTTGGCACGATAAAGAAAATGTTTTTCTAAAACCCACGATCTCCGAATAATCATATATATGTATTTATTCTATGCAAGAAGGGGCGTCGGTGGCCTCAGCGGTTTAGGCGTTGACACGGCGCTCGTCACTGTAAGGTAAAGTTCCTGGGTTCGAATCCAGCGGCCCTGCATTCGAACCCGACAGACTTACAAATGGGCTTTTTTCAAAAACACCGGCACCCTGAGAATTTATGTATTACTATGTAAGTAGTTCGATTGGGTTTACATCAACGCCAAATTTATGATTTATGTCCTAATTTTTGCACGGTCATTGCTGTAAGCTTCGGCTAGAACATAGGAAATTTAAATGTAGTAGTGCTGGATCAAGTTATCTCTCATTTCCGTACAGATTTTTGTTTCTTAGCCTGGATGACAGAAATATATGGTAGAAAACATATAAACCATGGTTAAACATGATCATGCTTCATAGAACATATTGAAATTGGTCCAAATAGCATAGAAACACTAAACCATGATCTAACTTGATCCTAGATTAAACGGACAGTTTACAGATAAGTTTAGATTTGTCATGATTTTTCAACATACAAAACAATAGTAGTTCATTTGGATTTATTTAAATATAAAATCATGACCTACTTCTTGATATTTATATGATCATTGCTTATGATTAAAATAGGCACGATTTTTTCATGATTGTACAAAGTATAAAAAAGTATATAAAAAAATTTAAGAAAATGGGTGGTTCCATTGTATTTTTGAAAAATGTGCATTCATGATTTTACACGCGATTTTAGCTTAAGAAATATAATTTATTATGTATGTTCACATTTGCCATGTTATGATTGTGTTCGTTATTGAAATCCTACATCATGAGTTAAGATCAGATGTGCTTTACTTTTTAATATATCTGGATTCGTCGTTGATTTTTAACAGTGTTGCATTGAAATTTTCCCTAATTTTTGCCTGTTGTTGGCAAACTTTGAACCTTTGAGTAAAACCCAAATCTACCTGTTTATATTTGTTTTTATTCCTCTCGTCCCAAGATTGTGTTAATTGAACGTCGTAACACGTGTTCACCGGAGGGGGAGATTTTGGCTTCCAGTCAAGGGACGGTAGAAACACGTCTGGCCAAGACTACTTCTCGGGTCTGGGAAGAGCCTTGGATCTTGATAAGGCGAAGCCGTCGAAAGGACAACCTCCTATGAATATTAACGCCGAGAGCCATGGATCAGACCTAGCCCTATCGCGAACTGTGAAATCGCCAGTCATTCCCATGAGCATTTATCATTTTCGCCCGGTTCCTTTTCGTCCTTTAACCCCCGACAATGCGAATCGTTCCCTGAGAACTCACAAATGAATTAGAAAAATTGGTAGGCCTGCCTTGATTTTTACTTTTTAAACGAAAATTTCTTTATGGATGTCCCAGCCATTGACACCAAATAAAACCAAAAAATTAAAACACTCCAGAATTGATTTACATTGCACATTTGCCATTGGTCAACACACTCAATCTAAATTATTAATTACATCATGTTTTATTTTCAGGACATACTGTTACGATAAATCTAACCATCTTAAATCTGTCCCATTTTACGACCATGTTTAAAATCTGGGCTAGAAACTATATATTATAAAATGACATTTCGATCAATACATCATCAAATGACAACACTGGTCAAAATGAGGCCAAGATCAAATCATGAACTAGATCGTATAGTCAATGAATAAGTGCAATCAATCAATACAATTGTTTCTCACGATGAAAAATCCTGCCTTGGCAAATTGAAACATATTTAAATTCCAAATTATCTCTGTTAGAACAATGATCATGCATAAAACAAGAAATAGATCGTAATTGTCTTTGTATAAATTCAATAAAAGTTATGTTTTTTTATCTGGAAAAATCGTGACATGTAAAATTTAAAGAGATGCAAATCATTTTTTCCTGTTTAATAAGGCCTTGATAAAATCATGAACTATGTAGATTCATTTATTCAATTATTAAATTAATAATCCAGTCTGCTCATTGTACCAGCAAAGCCCAGGCATAAATCAAGACGTTAATCATGATTTTGTCTTTGTATAAATTTATTCTGACTATGTACTTACTGTTGTGTTAAACTTGAAAAACTATAGTATCAAATCTTGACGGATCTAAACATGCCTGTATCTTGTTTCTTTAATCTATGATCAAGCTTAAATCATGATATCTCATAAGGTTTTACAGCCATCGCAAATTTCCTTGAAGATGGACTGTAACGATTTGTTTTCAATGTTAGGACCGAGTCGTTCATCAAGGAAATTTGTCTTCACCTTTAAAAAAAACTGCTTTTACCCGCGACTTCGTCCAAGTGGGACTCGTTTTAATGTGTCTTTGCAGTGTGCTAATATGGCTTTCTAATATAATGTCTCGTTTCTGTTTACTTCGGTCTGTACATGATAAAAAATTGTCAATATGGTCCACTTAGGGATGGAATTTCAAAAAATCCTTTCTTAGCGGCTTTCCATGCCATTGTAGGAATGCACCGTCAAAATTTCAACCCTTTAGATCCAGCGGTTTGGTCTGTGTTGTCTGTCAGCCAGTCACGGAACTTTTTTAGATGGCCCGACTGAATTTCTCTTGAACCAATGACGTTATATATATTTAAAAAAAAATGTGTTAAATATTTTTAGTCTAGTTTCAAATGTTTTCCCTTTTTTGGAGAAAAATTATAAAGGGTACCTTATGCCCAGTTCAACTTCAAAATTTCAAATATGACCCTATACATCCTGACACATCATTTTAAAGGATATTTTACGCTAAAAACACTGGTACAATGGGATTGTACCCAAAAAATCACAAAGTTACGGCAAAAAGTTTGAAAAAACGCATTTCGTTGTTAACTCCAATAATTTGCTTCTTCACTATAGTATTAAATTACATTAAATGGCCTTTATTGCTTACATTCTGTCATTCTTTTTCAAACTCGCATTATGAGAATAAATCTTAATTCCTGGAAGTAAATAAATTCCTGAAAAAAAATCCCGATTTGCGTTTTGAATAAATGCATTTCTTTATTTATTTTTGTTTTTTAGTGGGTTCGCAACCGCAGAGGTTATATCAATCCTCGGGGTGCCGGTGTTTTTGAAAAAAAGCCCATTTGTGAGTATGTCGGGTTCGAATGCAGGGCCGCTGGATTCGAACCCGGGACCTTTACCTTACAATGATGAGCTCCGTGTCAACGCCTAAACCGTTGCGGCCACCGACGCCCCTCGCATTTCGTTGTTAATTCCAATAATTTGCTTCTTCACTAAAGTTAACATTAAATGGCCTTTATTGCTTACATTCTGTCATTGTTTTTCAAACTCGCATTATGAGAGCAAATCTTAATTCCTGGAAGTAAATAAATTCTGGGTCACATAGGCCTACTTAAATCATTAATGAGATTATGATTTATATTTTCAAATAGTATCTATTGTATTAAATAACTGTTTTATATATATATTGGTTTCCCCTGATGATGACCTTAAAATAGATCGAAAGCTTGGCTGTAACGACTGAATTTGCTTTTTCTGTGATCTATGATTAAAAAAATCGCGTCTTGACACATCTTAACATATACATTTGTGATTTTTTTTCTATGAAGTAATGATCATTCTAAAACCATCTAGTAGATCATGATATTAGTTTTCAAAAAATGCCACCTCACTGCTATCATCCGTAATGAAATATTCACATCTTGACAAATCTCAACATAATTCAATTTTCTCTCTTTCAAAAATGATCACTCATAAATCGAGATGCAGGTTATTATAACAAATAAACGTTTACTATAATAATTTTGTTATTTAAAAAAAATCATAAACTACCAAAAATCCTGATTTGTTTTTTTTAATAAATGCAATTTTTTTTATCATATTCATGTTATTTTTTTAAACTTATATCGATTCTCTGGGTCACATAGACCTGCTTAAATCATTAATTAGATTAT